TTGGTACAAGGAACCAGCTATTATTTACACCATTCTGAGTTCTTTTGGTAGAAGATCAGCTACATACATTTGGTTAACAAATAAATATTTGATTTTGTCCCCATGGCTTTATTCCTGGAACAGATGACAAACATTCGTAAAAAGGAAAGCAAAGTTATATAGATAGTTCACAATTCAAATATTGGTGTGACTTTGGTTTTGATTGGGAAGATAGCATTAGGAAGCATCGTGTAATATAAAGTCATACATGTAAAGTTAATTTTTATTCTGAAAAAATTCAGATTTGTTTGTCTTTGTAAGTTTCTCTTCCTTACATTTGAAAACTGTTTATTTCTTGTTCAACCACCAACCCACAAATAAACTATTTATTTTCAAACTGGAACACCTGACAAAGTCATCTAAGAAGTTCCAATAGAGAGGGAATTTCACCAGAATATTTAGGAAAAATATTCCTATTAATTTCACAAAGGGAACCCAAAGTCACACTAACAGCCATACTTCTCATGATATTATGTGGTCTAGCTATAGAGTGATGAATGGTTCTCCATGACAAACATATTATTTCAGGCAAGGAACAATTCTGATCACAAAATTGGAAAATGGAAGCGAACAATAAGAAGAGCCTTGTTAGTACAGGGGTTTAAGGTACCCTGTTATTAAGCTTATTAAGACCAGCTGCCTGCAATTACTGCAGGGTTCGAATCTCGCCAAGGCTCAAGGTTGACTCAGCCTTCCATCCTTTCTAAGGTAGGTGAAATGAGGACCCAGTTTGTGGGGGCAATAAGCTGACTTTGTATAAATATACAAAAGGATGAAGGCTATTGCTGAGCACATTGTAAGCCGCCCTGAGTCTTCGGAGAAGGGCGGCATATAAATCAAATTTAAAAAAAACAACAATTAAAATCTTCAGCATTTTGTTACTTCCATTTAGTAGCTGCCCAGACCTTGGCAGTTCACATCTGGTAGTCTTAAAATGGGGGGGGGGTCTTCCCTTCTGCTTACAATTGCTGTGAATTTATACCAATGCCTTCATGCATTCTTTTAACATACCTGTAAAGGCAGTGGTATAGACTCATTATGTTGATTCAACAAGTATTCACGATACATTTGCTGCAGTAACATCCCAAAAGCACACTTCTAATTGAGATTGGTGCATGTTGTCATCATTCACATAGCTTTCTCTATGCAAGATGTTCCATGACATCTAAAATTAATCTGTCATTTCTTTCAGAAATTGCTGTCAGACTGAGAAATCTTTTCTTCTTAGAAAAATCACAGAAAATAAAACTAAAAAGCTATTAAAATTAATGTGGATCTGAATTTTGAAGACAAGTTAAATTATATCACCATGTCACAGAGGTTTATATCCTAATGACTGTAATGAAAGTAGTCCAAAAGAATATCATATTTCAGAGTGATTAATTCTACATTAGTGCAGATTGGAAGGGAGAGAGAGAGATAATAGAAATTTTAGAAAATTAAAAGGTATCATTGTTGACTATTCTTATTCTTGAAACTTGTACACCTTAATTCAACTTAACTTTAATTTTCCTTTTCTCCAACCTGATATTCTCCAGTATCTTAATTATTATGGATGGGTTGGATAATGGCAAGTATATCCTAGCATAAAACAATAATTTGTAGTTAAAAGTATCTTTTCTCAAAATATTTAATCTTCCACTACTCCATTTCCTTTTATACTAATTTTATGAAGTTGACTAGGCTAGAAACTTTATGGACAAGTACATATCTGAATTCATATCTCCCTGGTACAAACATAATATTCTAACCATTATGCCCCACAGATAATAAACCATCAATTAAAAAGAAAAAAGCCTGCACCAGTAAAATCCTGGGAGGCTTGGAAGACAAGTATGTTTCTTTCTGGTTCCAGAAATCTATCAAATTTGGACAGAACTTGGATGTTCCTTTCTAACATAGATAACATAGAACATCCTAGAACAGTGATAGCGAACCTTTTTGGCGTTACGTACCAAAAGTCTGAGCAAAAAGAATTAAATTCATTAATTTCATTTCAGATAAATGAAAAGCTGTCATGAATCCATACTCTAATTCAGGCTTTATATCAAAAATACAACTCTGAGTATTTTCCTGACCACATAGTCCAGCACAACAATTGTAAATGCTTACTCTTTGTAATCCCCAATCAATGTGCTATAATCTGAAAAGTTATACTGACATCCAAATACTAACTGGATTATTGCATGATTTAAGAACTCTTTGAATATTAAAGAGGGATAATCCAAAATGCTTAATACTAAAGTGCCCTTAACATCCTCTTTTAGGAAGAACTTTTCACAAATCATATGTGAATGTTTTTAAAGGTACTAAAATATCAATTTAAAATACTGTAATTATTTAGTCTATCAGACAATTCTGCAGCTTTGAATATTGATACATCCAATGGATCATTTTGCAATTCCAAAACTGGGTAATGCCTACCATACCAATAATGCTAATGATTTTCTGTTCTGTTTCTTTTCTTGTCTTGTTTTCAGAAGTTCACATGTGCAAAAGAAAACTGAAGATGCAACACCTCTTTTTCAAGCTGAAGGCATATCTATTTTGCACTCAATAGAGGTTTTGCTTCCAGAAAATGAGTTGAATTCTTCCTGTCTAATAGCTGAGGTGATGCCTAACACAAGAATCTTCATCTAAACAGGTCATTGTCTGAATAAATTCCCAACATCATTTATTAGTGGCTTCATTATTTTTCTTTTTTTTTCTTCTTCTTTCTTTCTTTCTTTCTTCTTTCTTTCTTTCTTTCTTTCTTTTTCTTTCTTTCTTTTCTTTCTTTCTTTTTTTTTTTTTTTGCACCACTGTAAGTTTCACTCCACATCTTTTGCATATTTACTTAGAAATGGGTCCTTCTCTGTTCAGGTAACCTTCTTTCCTTATTTATTCATTTAAAGAACTTCAATGGCTATCTATCTCATTATAATCCTAGGTGGCTTGTAACAGCCAATAATAACCAAAACACCCCTCTCATCAAGCGTCCTGTTTGAACCTCCTCCTAGTCCATAGCTAGGGAGAACCATTTGGAAAGCTAAAAGGATAGGGACTCTTCAAATGTCAAAGAAACTACAATTTGGTCAATTGACTAAGAATATCCAAAATACAAAATGAAACTGGTTCTTCTCTCTTTAAATGGGAAGAACATCCTTTCTTCAAACTTCCAAAAGTTCTTCCTTGGAGTTTTTTCAACAGGCCTAGTTATTATTTGGATGACAAACTTCCAGATAATACCAGGTTTGTAGAAACTGGTAATTTTTTTAAAAAAATCACATTTCAGAAGAAGCAGTGGAAAAATACATGAAATGTTAGTAAGTTGCATTAAAAAATTATGTCTTTCTCAATCTCAGATGTTCTAATAGAGCTCTGGGAATTTGACTATTCTGCACAGCATCATAGCTGTTCCTAGCACTGCACTCTTCTGGACAGAGAGCTCTTATGTCATTCATTGGATCTGTTGGAGCCAATTTCCCAGTTTAGAAATTGCAGCCCTGAGTGCTTGTGTCACCACATTTCCTGCAGTGGAAACATCCATACATTGTGAGAAGCTTCTGGGTCTTCACACTGGCAGCCTCCATGTTTTCCTTTGGCCAGCTCACTATATCATCAGGGTATCTGATGACTGGTAGGCCATATGTGTTGATGGTGTGGATCATGTTCTTCCCATTATTTGGCTCTTCAGGACCTGTCTTATCATTTGATGGATCTTGGATGTTGTTTCTTCCTTGCCTGCTCATTATGATTTTCATATGGCTTTAGAATACCAAGATACTTGCAGCTGGTCTGTGTGTCTTCTATGTGGTCCAATGGTTCCACCTTATTAGTCTTAACTCTCTTGACTACCATTCAGCTGTACTTCTGCAGTCTGAATGATAGCCCAATGTTCTCACTGTAGATCCAAGTGTTGGCCACACATCTAGTTGTTCTTTCCGGTCTTCTTAAGACTGGGATGCATGTGTAGTTGATCTATCTCAAATTGAGAGAGCAGCTTCCTCTTCTTATTTTGAAGTGTTGGATAACTAGCTATTTCTCTGTATAGATGTAGATATTTTGCCCATCCTTAGTTCCTTCATATGTTTCATATATCCCCTGTCATTAGATCTGCTAATATGGTAGCATTCCACCAATTCCAGATTCTTTTATCTTGTCCAAGTATGGTTTATTCCAGGAACCTGCTTAATGTCCCACTTAATGATTCTTTTAATTTATGTCACTATCTTATTTGAGGTAGGCAGGTAAAACTTTAAGGATCTTTGCCCAAGAACCCCTACTGGTAAGGCAGTTGTTTTGTCCATCCATAGTTCTCCCATATATTCCATATACTCTCATTAGGTCCCTTCTCATTAGTCTACTGTGATAGTAACTTTTCATCATTTTCAGGTTCTCCTGTTTCATCTATGTGTGGTTTGCTCCAATTGCCTACTTGTCGCAGATTGTCCTGGTTCCCAAAATATCTGAAATGGACCTTGTTATTCTAGGCAACTTCTGATGTGGCATTAGTCTCCTAAGTTGTGTCAATTAATATGTGAGGTCACCAGATGAATGGTTAGGAAGTCTTTGCCTAAGGACTTCTGCAGTGAAGATTTGAAACCCAGCACTAACTACTATGCTATCCAGTCATTTTATTCAAATATTAGATATTTCTGAGCCAGAAATCAGCTAGTGATAAAAAAGGAAGGATCCATAGAAAACATAACAAATTTGACAGTATGCTTTTAAAATTGCTTTGAGATCAGAGTTCACAATACACCCTCATTTCTTTCTGAATATTCTTGGTCGATTGCTTATTTTTTCCTTCAACAAAGCTGTCAGATTTAATGTCTTCATAATGGTTTCAAGTAAAGTTACGTTCTTACCTATATAGCACTTTTTGAAAGATTCTAGAGAGCAACCTCTACTACTCTGGCTATCCCAGAAAGTTAGGCAATTCCATGATACGATAAGTACATATGTATTATCCACCAAACCTGAATGAAGTTTTCACTAATGCTTCAGAACTTTCCACTGGGGGCAGCTCATCTGCTAAGATTTCCTCAGGAGGTCTTGGATCATGGATGATCATTGGTTTCTGTTTCTCCTTGATGTTTCCTGTAAGCCCACCAATAATGGTATTCCACAGGCAGTTCTGAGATTTTGATCCTGGATAGGTAAAAGAGAAAACAAAAGAAATGTTAATAATACAACATGAAAGTTCATCCTTTCTGGAGCCAAAGACAACTGGTAAAATTGGATTGATTAGCAGACTTAACCTGATGAATACATTAACCTGTTTTTGGAATTCATGCACTGCAGTAAAGTGTCAGGGTTCCAACCGATGCCCTAATAAAGGCAGGAGCCTCAAACAAAGTTTCAAGAAAAATCCAGTTGTTTATTAGGAGCGCCATGTCGGCAGGGACCAAGTGACACCAACTCTGACTTCACTCAATTTGCGCCTTACCTCTGACCCTGTTTCCCCACCCCCCAAGGTTGTCATCAGTCACATTCCCCAACAAAGCAATTTCACGGGTCGTAGAAGTCACTCTCTCTGGCCGTCACTGGTTTCTGTGGAGATGGCCTTGACTTTGGCTGGCTAGGATGTGTTTTGTTTTGACTGAAGGGCAAATTTCTCAATGCAGTTGTGAGGCTTGATTCCCCATCCCCCTGCCTATGGCAACTCGGGAGCAGGTCAGTTGACATTTGGCTTCCCCCACTTCCTGAAGGCAACCTGTGCAAAGCAAAAACAGTTTGAGTACAGGTATTTCTTTTAGGGGTGTGATCACCCCCCACCAGACTTCGTTGGGTTCTTTAGCTATGAGGCGATCAGCTTGAATGTTTCTGCTCTTTACCCAGGATGCCTCTGATACAGGGTAGCCCTTCCACTTGATTAAGTATTGGAGTTGCCCCCTGTGCCGCCTAGAGTCAAGGATGCATTGCACCTCATAATGGGTTTGGCCCCTATGACCATTGGGTCTGGGGGCTCATGGGGTAGTGGTCTCAGAGTCAACCTGACCATGGGTTTCAAGAGGCTGCTGTGGAATAACAGGTGTATTTTCCCCAGCAGTCAGGGCAGTTTCAATTGTACAGTGACCGGGTTGATAATCTTCAATATGGAGAATGGCCCAATGAATTTAGGTCCCCAGCTGAATTTAGTTCCCATCTTGTTCGAGTTTGCAGCAATCCAACCAGCACACAAATAAATAATTCCGCAGGATTCATTTGTATAAGAAATTTCTTTATATACAATACCATACAGCAGAAGCCAGAACCAGAACACAGAATCAATAATCACAGAAGCTATAGAATCACAGAAGCACTCATATGTATATTGATCAGTGAGCCTAAGCCATGCCCAGGCTCCGAGCCATCTGGGTCACCAAACATTTCCCATTGGCTGACCTGTTACCATGTCTATTCCAATTCATGAACTCACACACACTGATACATCTCCATCCAAGATAATTCTGCGTGGTACTCCATGCAGGAAGTAGATGTGCTTCAGGAAGAGTTTGGCTAGCTGGTGGGTTGGGGGTAGTCCGCTGCAGGGTATGAAGTGTGCCTGCTTGGAAAATAAGTCAATTACAGTTCAGATCGCTGTGTTCCCCCCGTTTTTTGGCAACTCCACTATAAAGTCCATTGCAATTTCCTCCCATGGCCTCATTGGCTCTGCCACCTGTTGCAGCAATCTGGGGTTTTTTTCCTGGTCTCTTTTTCACAGTGGTACAGATGGTGCAGCTTTTTACATAATTGTCCATGTTTCTCTTCATGCCAGGCCACCAGAATTGTCTCCTCACTAAGTGTAAAGTCTTTAGGAATCCAAAGTGGACTGCCAATTTGACATCATGGCTTCTCTGGAGGATTAAGGTGCATAGGGACTTGGGAAATAGAATTTTGCCCCCTTCCATGCTAGGCCCTCTCTTTTTCTCAAGATGTGTTAGTTGTGACAGAACTAGTTGGTCTGCTTCCAGTTCGGTTTTGAGTTTCACAGTTAAATTGCTTGTGGGCTGGCCTTGCTGGTCATGGCATTGTTGGTGCGTGGTCCTTGAGCCATGGCTTCGGTAAGGGGAATGATGGCATCTACTCCCTCCTCCCGCCTGCATTTGTATTGGGGCATGCAGGAGAGGGCTTCAGCTAGGAAATTCCTCCCCCCGGGATATGTTTTAGCATGAAGTTGAATCAGTTGAAGTATTGAGCCCAACGGACTTGTTTGAGTGATAGTTTCCGCAGGATCCTAAGGGCCTCCACATTTTTATGGTCAGTCCAGACTTCAAACAGTTTCTCCCCCCCCCCTTCTAAAAGGTGGTACCAGGTTAGTAGTGCCCTTCTTACCACAAAAGCCTCTTTTTCCCATGTGGCCCATCATCTTTCCATGTCAGTGAGTTTATGGGAGGTGTAGGCGCAAAGTTGTAGTTTTCCCTGGCCATTTCTTTGGAGTAGCACTGCTCCCACCACTGGCATCTGCTTGGATGATGAAAGGTTGTTCGAGGTCAGGGTATTTCAGGACCAGTTCTTTTGCAAAAAGTTTAGTGTTTCGAATGCCTTTTGGCAGGTTAGGTCCCACTGTAAGGGTTGTCCCGGGCAGGGCTTCATTCCTGGCTCCCTGTCTTTAGGAGGTCTGTCATGGGTTTAGCAATCTTCATGAAGAATGATGAATTGTGATGAATTGCCTGTAAAAGATTGTGAATCCAAGGAAGCTTTGTATCTGTCTGTGGGTGCAAGGCGGCTGCCACTCTAGCACAGCTTGTACTTTGGCTGGGTTCATCTCTATCCCCTCATTTGACACTCAGTAGCCCAGGTAGCCTAGCAATGAAATGTGCATTTTGACAGCTTGATGTACAAGTTTGCTGCCAGAAGCTTTTCCAATATCTGGCAGACTAGAGGTAGGTGGTCCTCCATGGTCTCAGTGAAGATGAGGATGTCATTCAGGTAGACAAGGACCCTCTTGTAGAGGTACTCATGCAGCACCTTGTTTATTAAATGTATAAATACTGCTGGGGCCCCCTGCAGCTCAAAAGGCATTACTTTGAATTGAAAGTTCCCCAAGGGGCAGTTGAACGCTGTTTTCCATTCAACTCCCTCCCTGATATGGATTTGGTAATATGTTTCTCTGAGATCTAGTTTAATAAAGACCTTTCCCCTGGCTAAGTGGGACAGCATGTCCTTCATGAGAGGGAGGGGGTATAGGTTTGCACACACACACTGTTTATCCCATGGAAATCCATGCATAATATCATAGTTCCATCTTTTTTCTCTTTAAATAGGACTGGGGCTGTAACTCATGGCTTGGCCAGCTTGATGAACCCACTTTCCAGGTTCTTGTCTATGTATTTGTGCATTTCTTGCATTTCCTGGGGTGCCATGATGTACAGTTTGAGTTTGGGAAGCTTGGCCCTGGGAATGATTTTGATGGCACAATCCATTGCATGGTAGGAGTGGGGGTAGGACATCACACTCAGTTTCACTGAACACTTCAGCAAGGTTCTGATATTCTCTAGGGATCTGTCCAGCCTCTGGAGTTTGTTCAGATGTGGCCACCAGTTGTTCTGATGGGTTTCCTGTGTGGGTGATGCCCTTACTTGCAGGTGTAGGGGTTTGGGGGGGGCTTGCTATCCTCAGCCTCTGGTTGCCCCCTTGTCACCGGATGGTCGGGCCCCACTTGTCCAGCCAAGAGAGCCCTAGTATGATCGCCTCTATCATTTTGGGAGCTATTACAAATATTTATTTATTTATTTATTTATTTATTTATTTATTTATTTATTTATTTATTATTTAAATTTGTATACCGCCCTTCTCCCTGAGGACTCAGGGCTGTGAACAGCCAAGTAAAAACATAAACTACAAACATTAAAATACAATTAAAAAGATATATATAAATTTGGCCCCATGATTAAAAACAGTAACAGACAATTAAAAAACATTTTAAAAAGTGTTAGGCCAGCCCAGCTTGCTGGAAAAAGAAGGTTTTAAGGGCATGGCACCGAGGTCTTGGATTCTCCTTATTTCTGGGGGCAGCTGATTCCAGAGGGTAGGTGCCCCCACAGAGAAGGCCCTTCCCCTGGGGGTCACCAGCCTACGTTGTTTGGCTGATGGCACCCCGAGGAGGCCCTCTCTGTGGGAGTGCACAGATCGATGGGAGGCCATCGGTAGCAGCAGGCGGTCTCGAAGAATACTAGGTCCTATGCCATGGAGTGCTTTAAAGGTGATAACCAACACCTTGAAGCGCACCCGGAAGACCATTGGGAGCCAGTGCAGCTCACGCAGGAGAGGTGTTGTATGGGAGCACCATACGGCTCCCGTGACTACCCGTGCAGCCGCATTCTGGACCAGTTGGAGCCTCCGGGTGCTCTTCAAGGGGAGCCCCATGTAGAGAGCATTGCAGTAGTCCAGGCGAGAGGTGACGAGGGCATGAGTAACTGTGCACAGGGAATCCCGATCAAGAAAGGCTGCAACTGGCAAATCAGGCGAACCTGACAGAAAGTCCCCATGGCTACAGCCGTCAGATGTTCCTCCAAGGACAGTGCATATCCAGGAGGACTCCCAGATTGCGTGCCCTCTCCGTGGGGGCCAAAGACTCGCCCCGATAGTCATTGATGGAGTCAACTGACTATATCGGGATGCCAGGAACCGCAGCCACTCAGTCTTGGAAGGGTTGAGCTTGAGCCTGTTCCTCCCCATCCAGATCCGCACAGCCTCCAGGCACTAGGACATCACTTCAAGGGCATCGTTGGGGTGGTCTGGGGTGGAAATGTACAGCTGCGTGTCATCAGCGTACTGATGGTACTTCACCCCAAAGCCACGGATGATCTCGCCCAGCGGCTTCACATAAATGTTGAACAGAAGGGGTGAGAGCACCGACCCCTGAGGCACTCCACATATAAGAGGCCTCAAGGTCGACCTCTGCCCCCAGCCAACATGAACTGCGACCGGTCTGAGAGAAAGGAGGAGAACCATCGTAACACGGTGCCCCCCATCCCCAACTCTTCCAACCGGTGCAGCATGATACCATGGTCGATGGTATCAAAAGCCAGAGGTCTAACAGGGCCAGAACAGAGGAGCAACCCCTGTCCCCAGCCCTCCAAAGATCATTTACCAACGTGACCAATGCCGTTTCCGTGCTGTGCCCGGGCCTGAAACCCAACTGGAATGGATCTAGATAAGACGTT